CACCTTATCGTGTGATACGCAATCGGAAGAAGGGAGCTACGCACACTGGAGGAAGAGGTGGCGGACGAGCAGGAGGATGGGCAGGAAGACGCTTACAGGTGTTGGCAGTAAAAGATGGTTGGTGGATTTTGTGCGTGTGTTGACATCATCCGTACTTGCAGCCGGTTGAGCTCTGCAACGCCCTCAGCGCCCCAGGCCCACTGTCCACACACAGTACTGGCAGGTCAAGTCCCGCCAGTCAGAGCACGCATGAAAGCCAGGTTGAGAAAGGCGTCAGCAGACCGTTGAGGAAAAGGAGCAGGAAAAAGGAGCAGAATGAAAAGGAGGAAGGGCAGGAGGAAAAGCAAGAGAAAACGGAGCAGGAGGAGCAGGAGCAGGATAAGGAGCAGGAGGAGCAGGAGCAGGAGGGGGAGCAGGAGCTGGAGGAGCAGGAGCAGGAGGATGAGCAGGAGGAAAAGGAGCTAGAGGAAAAAGGAGGACGAGGACGAACAGCGGCAGCAGGAGCTTAAGCGGATGAAGCGGGAGGAGCAGGAGGACCAGGGGGAAGGCTGAGGGGAACTGATTGGGGGGCGACAGCCATGGGAAGAAGGACTTGGGCACAGGAGAGCGGCCCGCGCTGGGGTGAGAGCGCCATCTCCTCAACGACGGGAGCAGGTCACCGATCCGAAAAAGTGGCCGATGGGAGGGTGAAACATATCTGGGAAGGCGTTCGCTGGAACAGTGCAACATTTCACCCGCCACATTCATGCGGATCCGCAGCTTTCAAGGTGCCACGCGGGCGGGCTGTCTACGGCGCGGCGAAAGTGGCCCCGCGCTAGGGCGGGAGCGCCATCCTCAACGACGGGAGCAGGTCACCGATCCGAAAAAGTGGCCCACGCAGAAGCGGGTACACCACTTCGAAACACCGATCACACAATCGGATTGGAAAGAAACTATGTTCAAAACGCTCTGAGAGCGTTCCGGAACGCTCTGGAACGAACTTACCCTCGTCCCAGATCCGCCCGATCAACATCCCTTTTAGGAGCGCGAGGACGACATCCTCGAGCCCAACAGCACCCTCTAGACAATTCCCAGCCGGGCAATTCCACCCATGCTCTCCTCCTCCCCTCCTCGCCTCCTCGCGTCCCCGTCCGGCGCCTCTCCTTGTCCTTGATGGCCTCGCAACCGTCGCCCTGAGCGCACGCGCAAAGAAAACATCACAAGAGCAAACAGCGACAGTGGGAGTGAGGGGATACCTAACAGAACTCAAGCGGACCAGGGGGCAATGCCATCACCACAACCCGATGGTATCATCCACCACTGCCTAGTAACCGTAGGGGACACAACTCGAGGTATGTGCACTGCTGGTAGGCCACGCCCGAACGAGCTCGAATCGAATCGAATCAGCATGTCGGAACACTACCCTGGCACACAGATGCACGACGCGCCCGCGCGTCGCTCACCACCACTGTATGAGTGCGCTCCTCTGCACACCCGCTCCAGTGCGTTACGTGCCCCTCCGACAGCGAGCGTCCCGTGGCGCAGTCGCGCACACCAGCGCACACGGAGGCGCGCACCGCGCCGTCCGACAAGAAGCCGCCGACGGCTGCCGTCGGCGTGTGCGAGGGCTCGCCTGTCGCTGTGGCCACCCTCGGGGGGGCTCCCCCTGCCCTGCGGCCACCCCGGGGCTCTCCAGGCTCGCCAGCCCGAAGTGCGAGTCGACCGAGGTCGTCGTCGAGTGAATGGAAAACCCTTTCTCTCAGATCCCTTCCCAGCCGGGGGGGGGGGGCGAAAAGGGAGTCCAGGGGGTGGAGTCCGGGGGGAGGGTCCCCGGGGTGGCAACCGCCCCGCCACACCCCTGCTTGGAGGAACACTCGCTGCTGAAGCCAACATGTCCGACAAGATCCGCTGATCCCCAAAAAGACCCCAGAGGGGCCCCCAGCAGGTCCCAAGAAGCCCCATGGAGACGCATGCCAGTGGACCAGAAATCCTCCAGAAACCCTTCAAAAAGACATCATGGGCCTAAACATGTCACCAAGGCTTTTACGCCACCCAGGCGCAGTGGCGGGATGGGCCAACGGCCACTACATTTTCGCTCTCGCGTTGAGCCGCCACCTCTCCAAGCCCCCATCCCCTCTGAGCCCAATCTGTGTCTTCTTAGGGCCAGCACAACTAGCCGTCAAGCCTTTGCAGTGTATTTACCGTATGTGGATCTATATGTACACCGCATTTCCATCCACGCAAACAGGCGCAAGCATAGGAACGTAGTGCGAATCACACATCTGCACCTCAACAATCACACGGCCCACGACCACACACGTGAACACGCAAACGCAGACGGGTTGAGACAAACACGTGGGGATGCACATGCACGCGGACGGACACACGCACACACACAAGGACACACACCATCCCATCCTCCGAAACATACCTCTTCCCTCTCCTGCCCGTGCTGCTCCTTCTCTTGGCTTCCTCGCTCCTCCTCAACAAGCCAAGGGCAGAAGCGAGAGCCTGCCACAGCAAGCAGCTGCGATCTTCCGCCTCAACCTGAGACGGCGAATAGAGAAATTAACAGCGCGCGATCACTGGGCACATAGCTACATGAGAACGAACACCCCGACGGCCTGCTTGCGAGCACGGAACCGTGGATCTTCGTTGTGCCTCGACCTGGCTCAGAACAACCTTGCGATGACCAAGCCAGCCACACATTCGGAACTTCCAGGGCCTCGCCAGATCGCACCCTGCTTTCACGGAGCATGCATCACCTGTGCATGGTGCACGTCTTGACTTGCACAATCTCTCACTGTTCCCGATAGCCCCTCACCCCCCACAAGTCCACAGAACTCTACAAATAGGCAAGTTCAGAATATCCCAAGGCGGCCGCTGGATCCTGAAATCCCACTGTCAAACTGCTCTTGTGAGGAAAATCCTGGAGCCCGCGCGGCAACTGAGGACCCAATGAACGTCGGATCCACGTCGGATCCACGCCCGAGGTGTGTGCAAGATTACGTCGTGAAGTCGCTGTGCAAACGTCATCCCATACCTGACAGGGTTGACGTTTGAAAACCCTGAAAGGTATTTAGATCCCCCACCCAATAGGGGGTAACGAATTACTGTTCGGCGGCTTTGTCGAAGGACCGGGGTGTTACCATTAGGGGATCACTTGTCTTTCCGCGGCACCCGCCGCGCAACGACGACGACAGCTACGACTAAGATTCCGACTGCACGACTACGACGATTACTGGCACTTCTGCCTGAGGTTTTTTGGACCAGTCCGATTCACCGTCGACAGACAGGGGGGGAACCCAAACTAAAGACCTTTAGCGGATAATACAAATATTGCGCGCCGCGCGAGGCTCCAGGGATTTCCTCATAGCAGCCCCTCGCGGGGGCAGCGAGAGCGACGCAGCGATAAGGGGGGGGGCACCGCGGGATACTGAAGCAGCCCAGGGGCACGCAACAAACAGACACAAATCCCACGATTCCCCATATTTCCTGTACTCACTGGATGGTCGTCTTCCCCTCCACTTCCCCTATGTTCCACACTCTCCTGGAAACCGACGATGATTTGTGTGTGCTTCCCCCCCCCTGAGATGTGAGCGGACAAGTCTGGCCCTTTCCCTCGCAAGGGCGGGTCTCCTGACCGGGGACGCAGGCCCAACCCGCTGGCGGGACTGCAGGAGGCACTGCTGAGCGCCTGGGCTGCGTCTTGGGTGCTCCCGCTTGGGTTCTGGCTGCAATAAGGCCGCCTTCTGGTCAAAATTCCGAGTGAAGTGCCGCTGGCGACGCTGTGTTCCTCCTCTGACGCGTAACGCTCGTCACCCAGGCCCCACCCCCCCAAGGTAACGGTAACGATCGTACGTACATACACAAGGGAAGGGGGAGGCTTGGACCACCCCCACATGCTGGTGCTCGCGCGCATACTATGGCGATCGCACCGCACCCCCAACCCAACGTGCCCCACCCCGCCCAAGCTTTACCGCTACCTCGGGCCCTAGCCTGAAACATATTTGTGTTCGGGGCTCCTGTCAGCGTGGTAAGTGGCTGCCGTTCCAGCAGGTCGTGCTCCCGCTGCTGACTGTGCTGCTTTCCCTCAACCCCTTCCTCTCAGCCAACAAAGACCACTGAACTGCCATACAGTCAAGACTTTAGAATGCGCGGCAAGGGTGCAAGCCCCTTGGACGCCCTTGTCGAGGCTCTTCGAGCGGGGCTGGCCATCGACCATGCATCAGGATGGACCGAAGAGGCAATGATGCAAGGGTACCCTTGGGAAAGTCACCGATCCCTATCATCGATTTCGACTGTATGCCCGCCCCGCCTTGGCTTGGGGGAAGCGGGTCCTGAGCGAAACGGGTCCTGGTCCTCGGGGCCTTCCCCTGAGACGGGCTCTTCATCCCGAGTCGTTTTCTGCCAGTCCTGGGGCCTCTCGGAGGTGCCCAAAAGCCCCTCAGGACCTGTTCCCCTCAGGGCCCGTGTCCCCCATGGCGACCCCCCGGGGCAACGGCCGTTACCGGATACTGAGAAAGCAGCGTCCTGGCGAGGCGCGCAGCGCCAACAGAGCGCTGGCTGCGCTCCAGGCCCCTCTCTGTCAGCGGCCGGGATAGCTCCGTGAGGCGGCAGCCGCGGCAGGCAGGGGCAGAGTGCAGAAACGAGGGCGGCAAGCAGAGGAGAAAACTAACACGGGAGAGGCGGCAAGAGAGGGAGGATGAAACACCCGAGTCGCAAGAAGTAGTTGCGGAGTCCCTCCAGCGCGATCGATAGCACTCGAAATAGATTTCTTCTGGATGGTGGGGGGGCCGCCGAGCGACGTCGTGCGGCAACAACACACTCGCAAAACAATCCAATCCGCCGACCCCTTGCGGGTCTCTAGGCGTGTGAGATTGTTCCCCCCCCCAGACCCCCCCCCCCCCTTGGACCCCAAACCGGCAATGTGACTCCCCCCCCCTCGTGGTGGACGACCCTCCGCCGAACTCATCCGAGGCGGTCAGGGCTCCCCGGGCTCGGTTGGGAGCCTCCGACGCCACCCCCAAGATGGCCCAAGAGAGCACAAAGTCGCCGAATGATCGCTTCAAGACGCCCAAGGGGGGCCCCAGGCGGCCTAAGAGGGCGCCACGACGCTCCAAGAGGCCTCCAACCGGCTGCCGAAGCGGGGCCCCGCAAGCCCAAATCGCGCCATTCTTATAAGAAAACGTACATTTTTGGCATATACGCCTTTTCGGCCAACGCGGCGTTGACACTGGCCCACGAAGCCGCCAAGACCGTTCCAAGAGGGCCCAAGAGGCTCCCAAGAGGGCCCCAACACGGCCCACAAGGCGCCAAGACGGCCAAGAGGCGCCCAAGACAGCCCAAGAAAACCCCCAAGGCGGCCCCAAGAGGGGCCCAAGAAGGGGAGCCCGAACCGAAAATCCAAACCTTCCGCCCCCAGAGGCCCCCAAGAGGGCCCAAGGGAGCGGCCGAAGGCACCAAGAATCCGTCAAGACATCCCCAAAGACCCCCCAATACGCATCTCAGGAAACACTAAGATACCAAAATCGCCGAATTCTTTTTCCTTGACCTCCTTCTTCCCTTCTTCCTCCACCGCATCCTCCTCCTTCTCCTCCCCCTCTCCCTTTCTACCACATCGCCTGGTCAAACAACGCCCAACACAACGCATGGCGATACATCGCCGTGGCGAAAGTTTCTTTCAATTTGCCTCTTGGAATCGTTCGTGCGGAGTAATGAAGGGAAACGTGATAGATATATATATATATACATATATATATATGTATGTGTGTATATATATACATATATTTGTTGTAGAAAAAACTTTCTGTGGCGGACGATTCAAAAATTGTTTCGCGGGCCTCCTCGCCCCCGCAATAGCGGGGGGGGCAGGGCAGGTAAACGGGGGGCTGACAACTCCGGGTCGCCTGGGAGGCCGGGGGGGGGGGGGCACGGGGCGGCGATCCAGGGCGCGGGGGCCAGGGGGGTGGGCGGGGAGATTTTTCAGGGCGAACTCGTGCTCCTCCTCCTCCTCCTCCTCCTCCTCCTCCTCCGCCTCCTCCTCGTCCTCCTCCTCCTCCTGGCGGAGACAGGCAAAGCAGGCGGACCGTCTGCGGCGACGAAGGGGACAGCTGTTCAGCGAAACCAAAAAACCCTCGCCCGCCCCTCCCTTCTCGCGATCTGAACCTGAGGGAAGCATCGTAAGGGGCCAGGCGCCCTTACTCGTTCTATGCACCCCATCGTTCCTCGCGGCGGCGTCCAGGGAGACGATGAATGCGTGTGTGGCAAGGAGAGCGCAGGCAGGATATGGAGATAATGAACCACGCGGCGGTTCCCGCCCGGACGACCTCGCAATTGAGGAGGAAGAAGAATAATTTAGAGGAGGAGGGGGAGGAGGAGGCGGAGGAGGAGGAGGAGGAGGAGTGCTTACGTGCCACGTCGTGCTTTGCCATGCTACGCTTTGATCTTCAACGCCATGCTATGCAATGTTATGTTCGGGGCCGCTGTGCGATGCCATGCTTCGCGGTGCTCTTCAACGCCATGCCACGCCGTGCTCTACAATGCATCGCGTACCCTTTCGGGACCGTTGCCCAGCTCGACATCCGACTGTGCGAGTAGAGAGGGGATCTACGCCATGGTAAGGGATGGGAGGGAGGGGTAGGCTGTCATATATGACGCGAGCGCACCTAGCTTGTCCTCCACCCTCCTCCTCTTCCTCCTCCTCCTCCTCCTCCTCCTCCTCCTCCCCCACCTCCCAGCCGCCGCGGCCGTCCACAAGGACGACCGGCGGCCGTCCGCAAGGACGAGGGTGATGAAGCGCCTCTTCGAAACCTCCTTCCCTCAACTACTTCCTAATTACCCCGTCCCCCCTCCGCAGTCCTCCCCCCGCGGCCGCGGGTGATCAAGCGAGCGAAGGAGGACGAATAGAAAATCAGTTCCCCCAAAGGGGCAAAAGCAAACGCTGGGGGGCGGACGATTGAAAAAACAGCTTCCGGCGGCTGAATTCTATTAGTCCGCCCCACTTAATCATTTTGGGGGGTCCGGGGGGGGGGAGATTTTTTTCAATCGCTTCCCTGCATTAATTTGGAGTAGTTTTGATAAAACTACTCCGCGCGCAATCGCATCCCGCTCGGTAATTTATATGGCTTGGCGCGGAGTAGTTTCCGATCCCGTTTTGGGATAACAGAGCTATTAACGTCCCCGGGATCGGAAACTACTCCGCCGAATGACCCAGCATCATGTCATGTTAGGAATCTTGCGAGGGATGGGAAAGATCTTCATCATAGCATATTGAAGAAACTTTTGTTACGGCTGTGCAGCCCCTGATGAAAAAAGGGGTCGGCGGATGTGGCGTAAGCCTATAGAATCATTCTGCGGGGGGGGGGCGGCGGGAGCAAGTGGAGCACAAGGGGGAGCCTTCATGTGCTCCCATCGAAGAGGAACCCTGGCTGTGATCTCATCGGCACCGTCCAAGCGTTCTCAGGAGGACATCGGAATCATCGAGCCCAGTCGACGACGACAACGGACCACGGACGACGACGACGCGCCGCGGATGCCGCGGATAACCCAGGCCTGGGGGATGCTGCGTGAGCCCTGCCGCAGGTCGACGACGGCGACGACGAAGACGACGGCGACGACGACGGAATTCGATTGGGATCTTCGTTGGATTAGACTGAAAAGCTGTTGGGATGCGATTGGGATCCATTTGGAATCCCAGTGGAGCCCAGGAAGCGTTGGAAACATGTTTGAATTCAATGGAGATCTACTCGACTCCTACTAGAACCCTGCTGGGATCCAACTGGAATCCAATTTAAGCTCTTGAAGCGTACTGGAGCGAAGGGAAGTCTGTTGAAATCGTACTGGAATCCTCTTAGGAATGGGGATTCCCCTGGGTCCCTGCACGAAAGCAATCGGAAACCGTGGAAAGAGAGAGAGAGAGAGGGAGAGAGAGAGAGAGAGAGAGAAAGAGGGCAAAAGAGATTGAAACAGAGAATGAGTGAGAGAGAACCTAAAACAAAAAACACAAAAGAACTAGAGGGGCGAGTCTGCGGAGAGGTAGATTCTGCATGGGACCCCGCATCAAACGTATGTTATTTTGCTGATCTGACGTGGACCACGCCAAAGAATACCCCCCCGCAACTCAAAGAACACAGCGCGTAATTCTCACGCGGGGGCGGGTCAGGGGGCGCAGGAAGGACAAGCAGGAATCCGATTACAAGCCAGATGGAATCCGATTGGGATCCCATTGGGGTCCGATTGGCATACGACTGGGATCCTAGTGGGACCTGGTTGGGATCGCAGTGGAACCCTTGGGAATCCTTGTGAAATCCGATGGCGGTCTTTTCAAAATCCTGTCAGAAATCCTGGTTTGAATGCAACTGGGACACGATTGGAATATGGTTGGGATCTACTTGGAATCCTATTGAAATCCGATTGCATCCTAGTGGAATGGGATTGGAATCTCATTGGAATCCGATGGGAGTCCTATTGGAATCCCGATTGAACTATGATGGGGATCTTGTTGGAATTCTACTGGGAATATTCGGAGCCCGACTGGAATACAACAGTACTGGACTCCTATTCGAATCGGATTGGAATCCGATTGGGATCCTCAGCAATCCTGGTGGGCCCGAGAGGTCGGGGGAGGGATGTCACTTCCAGGGGACGACAAGCGATATAGTTTCGCCGAAGGGAGGGGGGTCTAATTGCGTCTTGCCATTAGGCGTGCACGCATTGCAATTGGCACCACGCCCTCGCCGCCCCCCACCTTAAGAAAGAGGCCATCGCCGACTGCTGGCAAGGCCAATATTCGCTCCACCGGCACCTGGGCTAGCGCTCCCGCGCATAGCTGTCGAGCCCCAGCGCGCCCCCTGGGACATCCGCGAGAAGCATTTGCTGGAGATGCCCCCGGGATGAAACAACGACGACCACGACCATGACCACGACCACGACCACCACAGCAACGACGACCACGACGACGACCAACCAGGACGGCCCCAACGACCACGGCGACTTGGACGGCGCCCCTGGAAGGCGCGCCTGCGGCCCCGCGCCGGCCGGCCCGGGGACGCCCGCCGCCAGCGCCACGGCGAGCAGCCGCGCGGCCCCGCGGAACATGCGCGCCCGAGGGCGCGCCCGCGGGGCGACGTCCCCTCCCCCCCCCGCCTCGGCACCTGCGGTGTGCAGCGAGCGCGGCGACGGCGGCAGCGGAGACGCGGGCCCAGGACGAGGGGGGCGGGGGCGACAGGCCTCGGAAAAAAATAGCAAACACTCATGCCACTTCCATCTGTTAACGCCTCCCCCTACCCCCAATGTTCAAAGTTGGCGGTGGGTCTGATGAGTTGCACCTCGACCGCAGTCTCCCCCCCGCGTGCCAACCTTGAGTTTGGGGGGCAGGGGGGGTGTTCACTAATTGTTTCCCTCTACCGGAGGAAGGCAGCGGCGGCGGGATCTCCGCGCCGAACCAGTCGAGGCCCGCGGAAGGCTCGGGGCCGACGAGAAGGGGGGGATAGCAGAGGGAGGGGCTGGCGGATCCCAGTCCTGAAAAAAGCTCGAGACCAGCCCCTCCAGGAAAGCCTCGAAGGTCCAGAAAGGACATTCCAGTCGGATTCCAACGTGGGTCTGTTGGAGCAGCAGGGGGTCGTGAGGCAAACGCTGGAACACATACTCTGGTTATCTGTGCGTCCGGTCTGGCGAAGAGGGACGGCATCAGCGCGACGCTAAGGAGAGTCGTGGACTCGAGCACTTGACCTGGACGCACGCCGCGCAACACTACCTAAATAGTGGAGCTCTGCAACCGACTACGATTCCTGAAGAAGTTACACGAGCGCGCAAGACACGGCCCAGCTGAGCGTTTACTGGCGCCCGCCTCATCCTCACGCCCCTTCCCCCACCTCCCCAATTATGTCCCTTCCTATTTGCCTGCTCGCAAAGGTACCCATCGATTCTTCCCCTCATCTCGGAGGCCTGGAAATGGGCACCAACACCAACACAGGGGGGTAACTGTACAGGGGGAGGATCATCCTAGATTTCGGTGTTGGTGGTAATATTTCGGCCATCTTGGAAGCCAGAATACTACTACCATCGCCGAGATCGGGATCTTCTTCCCTCAGTGGAGGCACACCGCCGAAATTGGTTTTGGTGTCAACCTCTAGGCCTGCGATCATCACCATCCCCCTCCTCCTCCTCCTCCTCCTCCACCACCAACAACACCACCTCCACCTCCTCCTCCTCCTCCTCCTCACTCTCATATCCCATATGCCGTTTCATGTCGTTTCTCCTCGTGGTCTCCCTTCTCCGCCCGACGCGCCCCTCCTCATCCGTGTCCTCGCCCCCCTCCCTTCCTCTGCGCCACGATGCGCCTCTTGCCCCCGCCTTCTGCCCCCGTCGCCTTCCCCGTCCTCCTGATGTTAGCACCGATGCCACAGCTCCTGGGCCCATTTCCGTCCCTCCCCTCCTCCCGCGTTCCATCCCCAAGCCCCTACGCCACCCCTCCACTCAAACCCCTTCCCTCCCATGACCCCTTTATCCCCAGACGCCCGCGCCCTGTGCCCTCCCAGTCCACGGCACCCTCTGGGACCAGCTGGGATATCGGCGAAAACCCTCACCCAATGACCACTCCCGCGAATACCGCGCCGCGCGTGCACACTTTTATGCGGGAAACGTGTATTTCGACGACGTGCAACGCCCCATCCCCTGGACCAGCCGAGAGAATCGCAAAGGTTCCCAACTAATCCTCACCACCCGAGAGGAGCACTCTCCGAACACACAAATGGTCGCAATATCTGTGCACACAGATCGCAGCATGATCAGTGCGACCGTTGGACCCACACACAGATGCTGTCTATACAATTCAAACAATGATAAGTGTTACTTTGTTCCGAAAAGATACACGCACGCTACCTCGAAGCCACCATTGCCAAACCAGAGCCGAAGTCGACGTATCCAGCGAGGGAAGACTGCGAATCCACACTTCCCTGGCCCAGGGCGGCCCCAATGGAATACGGCACCAAGACGGACTCCAACGGCCCCAATACGTCCCAAGAGGGCCCCGAAGGACCCCCTAGAAGGCCTTGAAGATCCCACAGGAACCCGATACAACCCACGTTGCCCGCATGATGATGCTAACCTTTCACGCGGTAGTCGGACAATGCGTCATATCACGGCTTTCTGAGCAAGCAAGGCTCTCTGCGTCGCCATACAAACCAGAGCGCTGGCACGGTGGCAGGATGTGCCGCGGGCATGTACGTAGTCAGGCGTTAGGGCTACGACTGCGCTCGACCGCCATTGTCGCCAACGCTTGGATCGTGCCCCGAAGTTTGTACATGCCCCCCTGCTGCTTGGCAGTGCCACTGTGTTTGAATCTCGCACTGGTGGCTTAGGGCACGCGGCACGGGGGACTTTTTCCCCTCCTGCGAGCAAGGAGGGAGGACGCGGGATGACGGCGATGCAGGAGCAGGGAAGAGGGACCGATTTGTGAAATCGACTGGATGCGGAAGGAGAGGGGCGCTCGGCCGCACACCCCTCGGATGCATCCGACTCCTCCAGGGGGGGAGGACGGGGGAGTCAGGAGGAGGCAAACGAAAGCGAAATCCGGGGACCAACTAAACACAATAGCAAGGACACGCCGCTGTGGAGAGTCCATGAGCGTGGTACCGTGGAAGGAACATCGGGCCCTCGGACCAGAACGAGGGAGCGACACGCTGACAGACTACCAGCGGCAGCGTGTCATCGACACTCCTTCTCTCGGTCTGCACATTATGGCAGATGCGGATTATCGGGGTGCGCGCGCCTTCTGCAGGGCACTGCAAGCCCGACCCATACTGCATCCACGAGTCTCTCCGAACTGTGTAGAGCCCCTGCCCTCCACCCCACCCCTGCCGACACAACCGCCGAACAGCAGTACGGGAACGAACAATGACGTAAACATGAAAGCTCGGAGGTCTGCGCGGATTTCTCGGATCGGCGCTGGGGCCCCCCTGGCGGCGCCTCCGGCGCCGCCCCTGGCGCGCTCCGCGCGCCAGGGAGGGGGGTCCAGCGCCGATCCGAGAAATCCGCGCGGACCTCCGCGTTATTACTGGCCATCGCTCGGACGTCCATTCCCTGTTTTTTTTTTGGTTTCGTGCGTGGATTTTTTCGCCAAATGATCAGGGATGCTCCTCGATGGTCCTCGCCGAAGGAAACATGCACACGTCCGAGCGACGCCAGGTATATTATGTCAATGTCATTCTTCGCTCCCCCAACACAGGGCGCACTGGTTGCCGACCCTTGAGGAGCACCCGTGCCCTGCCAGGCCCACCCAAAAGCGAGGCCACTGCTGCGACTCTTGGGGCTCGCCGACCTCTCCATGGGAGCGACGGTCGAGCACGGGTCTCGCGTAAGATTCCAGGGCGACCCTACGTGGTGGCCTACACAGGCCGCCAGCGCGACACGCGACAGTGGAGACGAGGGCACTTCCGCGCGGCCTTGCGCGGGGAGCTCACGCGCCAATGTCGGCGAAGAAGACCCCGTGTCTTTTCTCCGTCGCCCATGCGTAAAGGAAGAAGACGACTGGCGGCGAGGTCGAAACCAGCTGCACGCAGCAGATTTTGTAACCCCTCCTTGCCCAAATTCCCCTTTCGCCCGACCTGAGTGATCCTCGTCGTCTGGCTTTCGGGCCATCACTCTCGGCAAACTGGCGGCCGCTCGCGATGAGCCGCACACCTCCGGAACGCTCTCGGCGAGGCGCAACTGCAAGAAGGCACCCCGAGGCTATAGAAAAACTCTGGGAACCGACCAGAATGCTAGAGACTCCCCGACATTCCCTGACGTCAGCCAGCGTATGTTCTTTCAATGCGAGGCCCCAGAGGTCCCGACCCTGTCCCAAACGGTAAGAATTGTCCCAAATCCATATTTGATTGTATTTTGGCCTGAAAACGGGGCCCAACGGCCGAAAACTGATAAACATTTTACAACAAAACAACAAATCGTCGGATATCCGGGACCTCGCGCCCCGTCCTATCACCAATCCCCTCCATTTGCTGAGATCCGACGTAACAGAAACAACGCATCGCCAAACACCACGGCCAGAGCCCCAGGCCACATCTTTCAGCGCCATTCTTCGAGCCCGATCGACCTGTGAGGGCGCTGCAGCCCAAAGCTGGGCGCACACGCCCAGCTCCAAAAAGTTGAGATGTTAGGATATCGGGGTCCCCCTTTTCAGGAGCCCACTAAGGACGTACGCGCCAACCCGCGTACATGAACACGGCCTCCCAGTCCGCGAGACCAGCCGCGTGATGCGAAAATTCGCATGCGTACTCTCAAGACCAACGTGGGTTCATGTACGTGTACGTTCTTCTTTCGCTACTGACCTTTTGCCCGACTCGCCGTGGCCACGCACAAGACGAAGCCAGGACCAGGACAAATCCGGGATGAAGATGAATCGAGAATCTCTGAGATCCGGCGGCTCTGGAGGATGCCTCGCGCGCCGCGGCCTTCTCGGAGCGCCCCGGAGCGCTCTGAGAGCGTTCCGGAAAGCTCTGGAACGGACGTACCCTCGTCCTGGCCCCGCCCGAGCCCGAGACGCCCTGGCCCCGCCACTCTCTGACCGCTCCATCCCGCTTTCCGCGCGGGGACCCGCGGCGCGGCACTCGCCGGCGGCGGATCTCTTCCCCAGCGGGCTCGGCAGCGGGCCGACGAGGAACCGCGCCCGGTCGCCGACAGCGCGGGGCAGCCCAGGGCGGGTGGCGTCAGCAGAGGCCTCCCCGATGGGGCCCCCCTAAGAAGCCTCCAAGAAACAACCTCCTTCTAAGAAGCCTGCCCCCTTCCCCCTACCCCCTTGTGCGAGCCGCCAGCCCTTGTTGCCCGTCCCCCGAGTGAACGAACACCCGACTTTGACTCTAGGCCTTCTAGATGGGGTCAGAGTGAATGGGGTCGGGGGATCGCGCCGCATCGCCGATGCATCGGCGATGCACCCGTGATGCATCGGCGATGCGTGATCAACATCGCCATTGCATAGGCGCCATCAGCGTGGAGATGATCGGGCTCCATATGGAGCCGCGATGCGGCGCGACCCTCCGACCCCTCTACCCTGACCCCATCTAGGAGGCCTAGAGTCAGGGTCGGGTGTTCGTCCACTGGGGGGGGGCAGTAAAGGCTGGCGGCGCGCACAAGGGGGTAGGGGGAAGGGGAAGGCTTCTCAAGAGGAGGCTGCTTCTTGGAAGGCGCCGGCCCTACATCTATGGAGAGGGCCCGCGCCTTCTAAGAAGCAGGGGTGATTCGCAGAAGCCTCCCCCCTCCCCACCTCCTCCTGCGCGTGGCCGAGAGGGCGGGTTGAAGAAACGCGCGCCTTCCCTGAGATCCTGCCGACTCTCGCCATCGCTCGGACGTCCAGTTCCCGTGCATGTTTCGGTTTCGTGCGTGTTTCTTTTGCTCGATGGTCCAGGATGGTCCTCGATGGCCCTCGCCGAGGAAAACGTGCACACGTCCGAGCGATGCCACGGTCTCGATCTTCCCGAGCTGGGCGTGTCCGCCCCGTCTCGGGCCCAGAGGGCCCTCGCAGATCGATGCCGCTCGGAACACGGCGCAGAAAGATGGGGTCTGGGCCAGTCTGGGGCTCCAGCAATTAGAGGGCCACATGCGAACCCTGCCCCTACCCCCCACGACTTCTGAGGGGGAGGGTGGGGTTAACTTCGTTCGGAACGAAGTGAACCCCACCCTCCCCCTCAGAAATCGTGGGGGTAGGGGTAGGGTTCGCATGTCGCCCCCAAGCAATGATGTCTCACGATGTCGTATGTCTGTCCGCTGCGTCTGGTCTGAAGGATGTTGTGTAATTACCTTGTTGGCCGACCGTGGCAGCTCAGGGTCACTTACGTGCAGTCCTCTATAACAGGGGCCCGAGGAAACACAAGTTCGCCGGCCCAACGGGTCAGAGGCGTGCTAAGAACTCTGGTAGCTGCTTTACAGTAATTCTACTTAGCGCGCGCGGGGCGGCCCCTGGGGGTCCCCGGAAGAGAAGCACCCCGGGCAGGTCCTGGGCGCTGCGGATCAAATAGTTTTCCTCCTGGGCTCCGCCCTCGAGGCCGTCCAGAGAGCCCGAAGAAAGGCCAAGAGGCCGCCAAGAGCCCCTCAAGATGATACAAGAGAGCTCCGAGATGCCACAAGATCGCTCCAAGACGCACAAAATGCCCCCCAGACGGCCCAACACGCCTCGCAAAGCACTCTCAAGAGGGCCCCAAAAATCAGTGCTTTTCCTGTAAATGTTGGAGAGATGTTGGCGTTTCCGCCTTTTCGGCTTCCCGACACCCCAAGACGGCCCAAGAGGCCCCCAAGACCGCCCCAAGAGGGCCCAAGAGGCCCCCAAGAGGGCTCCAAGACGGCCCAAGAAGGCTCCGAAACGGCCCACGAGGCCTCCAAGACGGCTCAAGAAGGCCCCAAGAACGCCCCAAGAGGTCCCAGGGGCGAAACACGAATCAACATTTCGAGCTCTCGGCCCTAAGAAGGCCCCAGGAGTCCCCAAGAGGTCCCTAAGAGACCCCAAGAGGCCCCCAACAGGCCCTCAGGAGGCCCCCAAGCGGCCCCAGGGGGGCCCCAAGAGGCAAAATTCATTGTTTGTCCATAGGTTTTGGATAGATTGTAGCGTTTCCACTTTTCGGCTTCCCCACACACCAAGACGGCCCAAGAGGCCCCCAAGACCGCCCCAAGAGGGCCCAAGAGGCCCCCAAGAGGGCTCCAAGATGGGGGCTACCCTTGCCTGCCAGCTTCTGCTCTGAAGCCCTCTCGCTCGCTACGAGCTGCCCGGGAACAGTCCTCACGACGAGCGCGAGCGTGTCTGGCAGCCAACAACACATGTTGTCCCAAACCAACAGCGGCCGCTGTTGGGCAGGCGGCCTTCTGTCTCGAATGGACACAGGCCGCGGCGGCGCGGACAGCGAGTCCTGTTCAGAATGAGCAGGAACTGCTGTTGGGCATTGTGCCCATTCTTTCCGTGCCCATCTCGGGCGTCCAGACCCTCCTCCTGACCCTCCTCCTCCTCCTCCTCCTCCTCCTCCTCCTCCTCCTCCCTCCTCCTCCTCCTCCTCCTCCCTCCCTCCTCCTCCTCCTCGTCCTCCTCTCTCCTCCTCCTCCTCCTCCTCCTCCCTCCTCCTCCTCCTCCTCCTCCTCCTCCTCCTCCTCCTCCTCATTCCTCCTCGTTCGTGCCCATATCTCGTTCGTGCAGAGCGGCGGAGGCGGCGAGGCGGCGGAGGCGGCGGGGCGGCCCGCAAAAGGCCGGGCCGGCTCGGCCCCCGCAGGCCTCCGCGGCGCCCCGCGGCGCGCGCCCGGGGGCGCCTCTGCGGCGCCCCGCGGCGCGCGCCTCCGCGCGGCCCAGGCTCGGTGGCCGAAGGGTGGGGCCCTGAGGGGCGGGGTCCTGAGGACGAGGGGCCTTGGCGGCGCGCACATGGGGGTGGAGGGAGGGGGGGGGGGCTTCTTAGAAGGAGGCTGCCTCTTAGAAGGCGCCCGCCTTACATCTACAGATAAGGCCCGCGCCTTCTAAGAAGCAGGAGTGCTTCTAAGAAGCCCTGCCCCCTTCCCCCACCCCCCTCTGCGCGTGGCCGAGTGCCTCAAGCAACGTACAGTAGGTTCGCGCGGTGCTGGCGCGCGCAGAAGTTTTGGACACCGCGTCGATCGTTCGGCATCGGATCGATCGCGGCCCCGAACGCTCAAGGTTGAGTTCGACCGGGTCCAGCCAGTGTCGCTACCGCGTCGCAGAATTCGACCTTGAATGCTTTCGCCGTCGTCGCCGGCGCGCCGACGCCGCGCGAACCTACCTTAAATCCGCCCTTGGACCCCTTCCTGCCCTCAGGACTCGGGACCCCATCCCTCAGGACCCCTTCATTAAGCCGCCGACGGACAAGCCCCGCTGGACACTCTGGGGCCGCCGCTGGGCGCCGCGAGCGTCGTGGCGGTGGAGGAGCAGCGGCAGGAGGTGGACGCCAGGGATCTTCTAGCTGGCCGATCTGTGGTGGATCCAGAGTTTCTGAACACAAAGGGGATGGATGCGCCGCGGATCAGGAGGTCGACGCCGGGGAGTCGACCATGTAGAGCCACCGTGCTACCATAGGGAAGGCCGAACAGGGAACGAAGCGGTGCTTCTGCTCCACGCCGGCCTGGACCAAGACACTGGCACGAGGTGGAGTGCCCAGGGGCTCACAGCCGTGCTGCTGCTGCTGCTGCTGCTGCAGCCACGGTTTTAGATTCTGAGAGGCCTGGGCACCCCGTTTCCTGGGCGCTCCCAGGAATTTCCGGGAGCTCCAAGGAGCTCTGGGGTGTGTCGCGCGTGCGTCTTCTGGAAGCCAGGAGGGTCCCAAGACGGGCCCAGAGGGACTGAGGAGGCCGGGAGCACGGCCCAGGAGAACCTCGAGTCGCCTCAAGATCGCCCCCAGATCCTCAAGATGACTAGAAGACAACCTTAGAGGCCAACAAGAAGCTCCGAGGGGGCCCCAAGAGCTCCCCCAAGTGGCCAAAATCATTGATTCGCCCTATGGTTTCAAATGATTTTAGCCTTATCTGCAGCTGTTAAAGCTCCAGGGTGGCCCAAGAGGCTCTCAAGAACGCCCCAGGGCTGCAAAGGAGGCCTCGAGGAGGGCACCAAGACACCCCGAAGAGGGCCCCAAGACGGCACAAGAGGCACCCAAGAGGGTCCCGAGAGGACCCCAAGAGGGACGGACGTTTCGAACCTTCCGCCCCAAGATGACCCAACAGCCCCCCCCAGAGGCTCCCAAGGTCCCCTGTAAGCCCCAAGAGGCCCCCAAGAGGCCCCCAGAACGCCCCGAGAGACCCGCAGGAGGCTTCCCAAAGGTCCCAGGACCCCTCCAAAGTCCCCCGAGAGGCAGCCAAATGCATCCAAGAGGCCTCTGAACCACATCCCAGGCACGATGGCGGGATGCGCCGAAGGCCACTAGATGTAAGCAACGGCCCGAAAAAAAACGATCTCCTCCTGAACCCAAGGTGGTCCGTATTTCAGCGCCTTGACTGCAACCACCGATCTGAATTCAATGACAACATTTGCAGCGTCGAGGGCGCTGGCATCTTTCTTCCGAGTTTCCCGTTCTACTCGTGCTCCACACTGTCTAACGCAGAAGGTATTTATACACACCCTTCGTGCCAGGCCAAAGCCGTCATGGCCGTGGCGCGGTGTATACGTCCTCCTGGCCGAGGCCAGGAAGGTATATGCACCATCCTGGGGCCCAGGACGGCCCTGGCCTGGTACGGTGGTGGTGTATAGATGCCTTCGTCGGATGCCTGGCCCGTGGAGCGACTGTTCGCCAATGCCTCTGCAAAAGTGCCGAGCAATCGACAGGCCTGATCGCGCGGCTTCCGCTCGCTTGTGCCCGCGAGGGCTCCGGGGCCGCGCCGGATGGTGGTCACCGCCCCGCCCCACGAGGGCGGGACGCGCCAATACCTGGTGCCCCGCGGGCTCCTCGGGGGCGCGTCCCCTGAGACACCGGCGCCTCAACTTGATCGAGCTGGGCGTTCTCGCCCAGTTTCGAGCCCCGGGACCCTCGCAGATCGATCCGGCTCGAGACATGGCACAGACAGATGGGGTCTGGGGCTCCCAGCGTGGGGGGGCCTGCTGATGCCAGCCGGGACCACCTTGGGGAGGGCTGTGTCTGGGCAGCCACGGGTGAGCCCTACCTCTGCAGGTCAGCTTCAAGGACAAGAACAGCTGGGGTTCAGAATCTAAGGATGCGGCCAGGTGAACCCGAACGGAGGTGTTCGATACCCCAGCGGCGTTTGGACCCAAGGGGGCAGGGTTCGCAAGTGACCACAGGCTTACCAGATCCACCTTCCTTCAGTCCTCGCCTGGAAAACAGCAAGAAGGGGTTTGAAGATCGAGGTTTGTGGACGTATTTATTGTTTTGGGCTTACAGGAGCGCTTTCGTTGACAAGATTGGAATTCCCTCGAAAATCAGGCCTGGCCAGAACTCACCCTAGGAGAAATTCCTGGGTCTCTGGGTCGACTTTTTTTTGAGGCAGCATGCCCCCCCCCCCGGAAAGGTGCGGGACCCCATCTGCCCTCGCAATCCCCCGAGAGACACTCCACCCATTTCTCTGGGCTCGCTCCCTGGGGCAACTCCCCCGTGACGTCGATGAAAACGAAACATGGATTGACACACCCACGACGTCGGAGGTCTGAAAACCCAGACATCCGACGACGTTATTTCTGTTCGACACGCGGCTCTACACTGACCTGGACATCGTCCTGGGGGCCAGCTTTTCATCCTGAGTCGTTGCTCGACGGTTCCGGGGCTGGGCTAGGGGCCCCAGGGTCGACTAGACATAGGAGTGACCATTCGCAGGAGTGACCTCTGGTGCGGGCATAGACGGGTCCCCAGATGGCCGAAAACGAAGCAGTGGCAGCTGCATGCGCGCCCAGGTTTGGTCACCCCGCGGCCCCCAAAAAGCCACGCACCAAAGGTCACTCTTACCCAGGGTCACTCGTGCGTATAGCCGACAGGGGCCGAACATGGCAAAAACCGTGCGTGTGCTCAAAGGCCCCCCAAAAATCCACGCATCTCGATACGAACCTACACGTCTACATAATACAACACCGAGGATGACAGTGGCAGGGCAGAGCAGGCGAGGTGGAGGGCTGCCGCTGTCTTGGACTTGTGGCGACTGGTCTCAGACCGTGATCGCAGCCATGGCGGCGAAGAAGACCAGCGGCACGAAGAAGAGCAGGGCCAGGGGTCTCCAGATGGCATGCAGCAGCGTCCCCATCTCCGCCATGTACACGACGAGGATCAGCATGGTCAGCCACCAGGCCCCCAGCAGGATCACCTCCGGCTTCTGCGCCTTGTGCAGGAACGTCTCCCAGAACGTCCGCTTCTGCCTCCTCTTCTGCCCCCCGGGGGGGATGGTGGGGGCGGGGCCGGGCAGGCCGAGGCCCGTCGGCTCCGCACTCGCAGGGGGTGGCCACTGCCAAGGGGTGGCCGCGGATGCGCTAACCTGCTCCATGGGGGGGGGCGCCAGCCTCCAACAAAATCGCGCTTCGGGCGGGTGGTAATTCGTGGGAGGTGACCGTCTCGCTCGGACGTCCCCTGTGTTTTTGTTCGGTTTCGTGCGTGGTTTTTTCGCCAAATGATCAAGGATGCTCCTCGATGGTCCTCGCCGAAGGAAAAATGCACACGTCCGAGCGATGTCAGGGGGGGGGGGGCGCCGGCCTCCAGCAGAATCGCGCTTCGGGCGGGTGGCAATTCCTGGGAGGTGACCTGGCTGGGGGTGAAGAACAGGGCCTTATAAAGGGGCCCTTCCAGCCCCCTTTTGGACCCATGCGGGGTCCAACAGGGGCCCCAAGGGCCACTGGAGTGCCCTTTGCTCGAACCCCCATGGAAGTCACCCCTCATTAGCAACCGCCCGAGCCCTTCCAGGCGCCGTCGGTAGTGCCGCAGGGGCGGCCTGGGGAAGGGCCACAAGATGCCGAGAGAAGCGTGACAGCTCTGAGCCTCTTTCCCTCAGGGCCCCCCTGGCACACGCCCGAAACGGGAGCGACGAACAGATTGCCTTGGACGCCCGTGTTGAAGCTTCTTCGAGCGCCGCGGGTCATCGAAAGTAGCCAAGGACGGACCAAAGAAGCACGGATGCAAGGGTACCTTTGGACGCTTGCCCATCCTTACCATCGATTTCGACTCTAACATGGTTGAGAAGATCCTCTTCGGTGGAGCCCATTATGGGGTCACGATGCGCGTGAGGGGAGTGCCGAAACGGGCGCGGAGCCGTCATGCCGAAATCGGTCCGACGCCGGCATGCAGCGGAGCTGCCTATACGGCCACGGAACGTGCGAGGGATGTGCGTGTGCCGAGTGGGGTGCGGGGCCGCCATGCAGGCGCAGCCACTGGGGCCTTCGGTGGAGCTCCTCGTTGCAGCCACGAAGCTCGTGAGGGGAGTGCCGAACCTGGTGCGGGGCCGCCATGCGAACGCAACCACTGATGCGCTCGGCTGCCGAATCGGGTGCGGGGCCGTCGCGCGCACGCAGCCGCTGGGGCCTGCGGTGGAGCCCCCCATGCGGGGCCACGACGCGCGTGAGGGGTGTGCCGCATGAATGTGCGGGTCCGCCATGCGCACGCAGCCACTGAGGCCTCCGGTAGGGCTCCCGATGTGGCCACGCAACGTGTGATGAGGCTGCCGAAACGGACTTGCGGAGGGTGCTCAAGGCTAGATATGTCGTCCCAAACGGACAGCGGCGGCTGTGTTGGACAGGCGACTTTTTGCCCCAAAGGGACAACGCCCGCGGTGACACCGCCCGACAGCGAGCCCTGCTCAAAGCGGACAGGGACTGCTTTCGGTCTTCGTCCACATGCTCTCCGAGCCTTTTTCTCTCGCACTAAACCTGGAGGCCTCCCAAATGGGGTCCGAGTTACGAGGATCCAGCCGCATCGCCGCTGGGTTGGCGATGCATCGCCGACGTCTGCGTGGAGAACATCGGGCTACACATCGAGCCACGTAGCCGATGCACCGGCGATGTGGCGCGGTCCTCGCAGCCAGTACGCTCGGGCCCCGTGCGGGAGGCCTGGAGGCCTTGTTGTCAGCGCGGCAGTCATCGGGCACACGCGGCGACGCCGACAGCGAGCCCTGGTCAGAATGAACAAGACGTGCTCTCATTCTTCGATCCCAATCTTTCCACACCCATTTCGATCGTGCAGATTGCCGGGCCACAACACACACACACACACACACACACACACACACACACACACACTTCGGGGGCTCTTTGCCCCCGCGGAGGCGGCAGCCTGCATCGCGCCCGGGCAAGCCCGAGGCTGGAACACTGCCGAGAACCCACGAAAACCCAGAGAACCTCGACCATCGCAGCCCGTGCCAGGCCACGGCTCATCCCCCCCGGGGCCCTTCGCCCCCGCAGAGGCGGCTGCCTGCATCGCGGCGCCCGCTCTCCCCCGCGCCCGCCGCCGCCTCCCGCCGCCCGCCGCTCCCTCGCTCGAGCCGGGCGCCGCGCTGTAGCGAACTATGGCTCGGGGACGGACTGGCCCGGGCCAGTGCAAACCCGGGCCAGTCGGGCTTTGCAAGATCCTGCACGATACTGCAAAAAACTGCAAGATCCTGCGGGCAAGCCCAGGTCAGTGCACCCCTGGCTGCGCAGGACCCTGCAAGATCCAACGCTCTACTCTATTGACCCCCGTCACTTGAGCCCCGAATGGCGAGCTCGTCGTGGCCGGCTTGTCGCCTGGTCTGGTGGGCTCTCGGCGGCCGATTGCGGCCGTGGCCCGCAGTCGCGGCCGTGCTTCTGAGCTGGGAAGGGGAGAAGGGCCCTGCGCGCGACGATGCGCCGCGCCCCGCGCGGTGGCCCACGCAGTCTGCTGGCGCGACACACCGCGTGGAAGAGAGGCAGAGAGAGAGAGAGAGAGAGACAGAGAGAGAGGGAGAGAGCGCATGACTCCGCGCGATCTTGCGCGGGCAGCTCAACGCGCCAACGTCCGCGGCAATGCCCCGCGTGGCTCACTGGCCGTTGTGCCGCAGGTGCCCGCGCCCAGAGGGATCCGCCCCGAAAGCACGCAGAATTGAGCATTGAAAAAACTCCTCTCAGGGCCCCGGACCGGTGATTCCTGTAGTTTCCTGGGCTCTCCGAGTTCGCGGCACGAGTTCCCCCGGGCCTCGGAACTGAGGTCGTGAACCTAGATCCTCATCATGCCTCGAGAGGACCCCAGTGGCCGTCCTGAGACATGATGGACTGTTAGACCTCTGTATGGTTGTCGTATGGGCACTGGGAGACCAGGATGCCGAAATCGAAAAACACCTGTGGTGTCGGATGATTTTGGGACTCTCGCCTTCCTGTCTGAAGAGCATCTAAGACTGCACCAGGGGCCATGAATATCCGCCGACCCTCAGGCGTGTGGAAGACGCTGTCGTCGTCATCGTCGTCAGTCCCAAGGAAACGGAGGAACAAGGAAAAGGAAAGTCGCAGTTGAGCCGAAGGAAAGCCCTTCCCTTCATCCTTGCCCTGCGGGGGGGTGGGAGGGGTAGCGGGGAGGTGGATGGGGAGGGGCTGGGGGGGCTCACAAGTCAGAATGCCGCACCCACGGTGTTGGCGGGTCCCCGAAGAATCGCCCGCGGGGGTCCCAGGGGAGGTCTCGCCTTCAGGGTGGACCTGAGCAACCGGCCCCTCCAATATTGCTTCAAGACCCCCTCCCCAAAAGGGCCCCGAGTGGCCCAAACAGTCCCATAAGAGACCTCAACAAAAACCTTTCAAGCACGGATCAGGCGCGGTGGCAGGGGATGAGCCGAAGGCCATCAATGGCAGTCTGTGCTAAAAGTGGAAGTGAAGGTAGTGATAGTGGAACTGTTAGCGGTCAACGTAGTGCTAGTAGGTAGTAGTAGTCAGTGGGTCGGCATAGGCAGTAATAGGTAGAGGGTGGTGGATCACATCTCAGGCGTAATCCATACTATGTAGCACGTACGTGGTACCCGCAAATATGTGGTGCCAGGTAGTAGGCACCAGCTACTGGCATGTAGCAGGGAGGGGGAGAAGAGGGGGTTCAGGTGGGGGAAGGGAAGGACAACATTGGGGGAGGAGCAGGAACACAGAGCCATTATTCCGAAGCAGAAGTGCTCAATGCTCTCGCGCAAAGGATCAGACATAATACGTAACCCCCCACAATTGCGGATAAGAGTGAGGGGGCGGGCGCGGGCGACGCGGGCGTCGTCGAGCCGGGGGACCTCGTGGCCCCCACCTTCCCTGTCGATGGCGCTCTCCTCCTCCTCCTCCTCCTCCTCCTCCTCCTCCTCTTCCTCCTCCTCTTCCTCGTCCTCGTCCTCGTCTCCATCGTCACCGTCATCCTCTTCCTCCTCCACCTCGTCCTCCTCCTCTTCTTCCTCGTCCTCCCTCTCCCCCCCTCGTCCTCACATTCTCCTTACATCCTCTCTTCTTCCGCGTCCTCCTCGTCCCCTGTTTACTCCTCCTGCCTCCTCCTCCTTTCCCAAGATAACTGCAACGCAATCTTTTGTCCACTTTATGCTCCCCGACCTCTCTGATCAAGGCAACTCGCCAGAGCAAAGTTGCTGGACGGGCTGGTGTGGATGCGCGGGGCTTAAAGAGGTCCTTGCAAGCTCAGACGGCATGCAAAAATCCGCCGCCGCGTTTGCGCGGCAGTGGTTTGTTCAGAGAACGTGGTTTGGGTCGCGGGTGGGTCGCGCGCTCTCCATCTCCACCTGGAAGAAATGTAAAAGCAGCCCGCCGCAGGCGCCAAACAAATGGGTTTGTACACTGAACGTGGTTTGGGTCGCGGGTGGGCCGCCGGTTCTCCAGGGGGAACGAGTGCAAAAGATGCCCGCCGCAGGCGCCGAAAAATTTGGTTTGTACTCTGAACGCGGTCGCGGGTGAGCCGCGGGCTCTCCACCTGAAGCGAATGCAAAACATACCGCCGCAGGCGCCAAAAAACTGGGAGCCGGCGGTCAACCGTCAACCATGGTTACCGCCGGGAACTCGTAGAACTTCCTCGTGGAATGCGGGCGCGGCAATCTTGCATTCCGCGCGCGCGAGGGTGCGGTGTCATGCAGGAGGACGTGGAGGCGAAGAGGGAGTCAGGAGGAGAAGGAGATGGAGGAGGCTGAGGAAGAGAAGGAGGAGGAGAAAAAGGAACAGGCAGAGGAGAATGAGGGGAAGGAGGAAGCGCAGCATGACGAGCAGAAGGGGAAGGGTGGAGAGGGAAAAGAGGAACGATTTAGTAGAGTACGACTGGTTTTTTGGCACCAGCTCTGGAAGCAGACCGAGCTCGGGCATCTAGATACTCGAGACTAGCGCGTCGGATGATTTTCTTTCGATTGTTGTGCCAAGCAGCTCTGTAGCTCATCTACAGCTCGAGCTACATCCATAAACGCATGATGAGCTCTGAACAATTCGCAGAGTAGGAATATTTGTTTCGGACCCAGCTGTGGTAGCACACCGAGTTCGGGGACATAGATACTTCAGAAGAGCGCTCCTGATGATTTTCGTTTGATTGTTGTGCCGAACAGCTCTGTATCTCATATGAAGCTCGAGCTACATCAAGGAAAGCACCGCCATCTCTGAACAAATCGCAGAATTGGAATAGTTTTTCGGACCCAGCTGTGGTAGCACACCGAGTTCGGGCATCTAGATACTTCAGAAGAGCGCTCCAACTGATTTTCTTTCGACTCCTGTACCGAAAATCTCTGTAGCTCATATGCAGCTCGGGTTGCATCAAGAAACTCATCATCATCTCTGGAATAATGAACAGAGTACGAATAGTTGTTCAGACCCAGCTCTGGCAGCAGACCGAGTTCAGGCATCTGAATACGTGGGACTAGTGCGCCTGATGATTCTCTTTCGATTGCTGCGCCGAACAGCTCTGTAGCTCTTCTACAGCTCGAGTTAAGTTAAGAAAACCGAAAACACCTGCCAAGATGACACTAAACAGCCGATATCGCAGGGATGCTTTTGGGCAGTAGTAGGTACCCGATCGACCTGAGATTAAGATGGCAAGCGGGAATGAGATCGAATATGAGAAAAAATACGAGAGCTCGAACGACCTGTTGAATCTCGAAAAATCGAATTTAAACCGAGCAAAAATATGCAAAACTTCCGTCGCGATGTTTTTTGCCAACTAGCCCCCCCAGCGCGCCGGAATTACTCTCTAGCTTCGCCGCCAACGCTCCTAAGGAAGCTCTACGAGTCATGTGGTTTGTACCCTGAACGTGGTTTGGGTCGCGGGTTGGTCACGGGGCGGGTCGCGGGCTCTCCACCTGGAAGGAATCCAAAAAAACCCGTCGCAGGCGCTGAAAATGGTTGTTTGTATCTTGAACGTGGTTTGGGTCGACGGTGGGTCGCGAGTGGGTCGCGGGGTGGGTCGCGGGTGGGTCGCGAGTGGGTCGCGGGTAGTCGCGGGTGGGTCGCGGGTGGGTCGCGGGGCGGGTCGCGGGCGGGTCGCGGGGTGGGTCGCGGGGTGGGTCGCGGGGTGGGTCGCGGGGTGGGTCGCGGGGTGGGTCGCGGGGTGGGTCGCGGGGTGGGTCGCGGGTGGGTCGCGGGTGGGTCGCGGGTGGGTCGCGGGTGGGTCGCGGGTGGGTGGGTCGTGGTTGCGGGTGGGACGACAACAACAACAACAACAACAACAACAATTACTAGCACGTGGGGACACTCCGTTCTCACCAGTGCCAGGGTTTTCATAGGACGCGGGCCAATACCCCCACTTTGTGGGGGGGCCGGTTCAAGCTCTACCAATTTCCAAACGACTCTTCGCCACCACCCACACCCAGCTTCCCGCCCTATGACGTTCGGACACTTCACTTCGTGGCCTGCGGACGACCGTGGCTACTACACTGGCGCATGGGTACAGTGACTTGTTGTGGTAACATCTTCTGGACGCTAGCTTAGTATACGACTTTTCCCCCTGTTCCAACACTGGACACCTGTAATGGTTTTTGGTGGTCATGACCCATCCAAGAACACAGGCGATACCTTGATCCGAGATGGCTACGGATGTGACAGTGATCAGTGATTTTGTTCGATGACGTGGTGACACACGGACTTGTTGTGGTAACATGCCGACGACGACGACGACGACGACGCGACACGCGCGCATGTGTCCCGCATGGTATGTTTTGCAAGGGATTGTGGCCCCTGGCAGGCGCGCGAACGCCGTTGAAAGAGCTTGCGAAAGTAGCTCGCGCGAGCTCATGTAACATAAATGTTGAAAAACCATTGGTTTTTTAGGATTCGGACAGCGCGCGCGGGTAGAAATTTTGAAAATTCGTACAGATGTTTTTCGAGGACCTACGGTGCGATTCGTATGATTTTATGTTGCGCGGTGCTAAAATTCCTAAGAAACCCAATGGTTTTTGAAGATTTCGGCGTGCGCGCGCGAAGAAAAAACGAATGTGTCCCGCATGGTATTATTTGACAGGGATGATGGCCCTGGCAGGTGCGCAACCGTTGTTGGAGAAGTTCGAAGCACGTGAAAAAAATTGCTCGCAAAAGCCCGTTTGACAGAATTGTTTAAAAAGTGTTGGCTTTCCTACAAATCCGCAAGAGCGCGCGGGATGAAATTTTGACATTTTTTTTTGGAGAAACCATGTTTTTTTATGTTTTCATGTTAAAATCGCTACGAACACTAAGGTTTTGGAAGGATTTCGTCTTGCGCGCGCGAATGTCCACTTTACCTTATTTTTTGCAAGGGATTCTTGAAGTTTGGTTATGTTAGAACAAGAAATGTCCACTTTGCCTTATTTTTTGCAAGGGAAAACCGCCCGTAACAAAACAACCGGATCCGGACCAACCCGTTTTGCCGGAGACTTCCTCACGAAAATGATGAAAACATGGCTGCGGCCTAGGCGCGGCGAGGGGGCCGTGCACCAGGGGTCCCAACAATAATTATTCTTTAGAAGTAATAATGTTCAACAACAACAACAACAGCAGCAGCAGCAGCAGCAGCAACAACAACAACAACAACAACAATTACAACAACAACAACAACAACAACAACAACCACAAACAACAACAACGAGAATCCGCGCCGCGGAATTCCACTTCAGCCACGCACAAAGGGACAGTGAATGACCGTTCGGCCCCCTCACTCTGACGAAGTGGAGGAGGAAGGAGGGGAGAGGGGGAGCATGGAGAAGAGAAGGGGGAGGAGGGAGAGAAGGGGAAATAAAGAGAGGAGGAGGAGGACGGCAGGGAGGATGAGGACGGAAAAGAGGACGGAGCGGAGGAGGGGGGAGATGAGGGGGAAGAGAGGCGGAAGAGAAGGTGTAGGGGAATATACACGTGGAGGATTGTCACACTGGGGCAGGGAGCTCGTCGATGTCCGTTGGGCGAAGCGGGCTCGGTGCACAGCCTGTCCTCGGAAGCATGCTTCGACGCCCTGGCTCTATGCATCTCTCCTCCTTATCCTCCTCTTTCTCACTGCACCTCCTCCTTCCCCGAATTACCTCTTCCTCATCATCATGCCGTTCCTCTCGCCTCCTTCTCCTCCTCCTCCTCTTCCTCCTCCTCTTCCTGCCCCATCTCTCATTCTTATGCCTCTTCCTCCTCCTCACCCTGTCTTCTCCTCATCCGTATCCTCATCCTTTCTCCTCCTTCTCCTCCTCCTCCTCCTCCTCCTCCTCCTCCTCCTCCTCTGTTCCTGGGCGGGGTGAGGCCATCCCCCAGTCCAAGAAGACCTTTGGGCCCCCCCTCCCACGGGACCGAGAGAGAGAGAGACAGAGACAGAGACAGAAAGAAAGAACAGCAACAACGGTCAACCACTCTGATTCTCGATCCGCCACTTCGCCCCTCTTCACTCCCGCCCCCCCGAGGGGCGAAGGAGGAGGTGGGAAGTCGAGGATCGAAGAATGGGGCTTCTGAACACTGGTATTGCTCTTTGTCTTCCCCCGAAAAAAAAACTTCCACGGGGGGAAGATAGAAGCCTCCAAAGAGATCATTTTTTTATTTCGGCCGGTAGCGCTCGTTACCCGGGGGGGGGGGGGGGGGATCGTGCCCCCCGGGTAACGGTAACGTTTGGGCTGGGCGGGGTATGGCGAAGCAGGGGCGCTCTGCGATCGCCATAGTATGCGCGCGAGCAGCACTCTCTGCCTGAGAGCACCACAATGGCTTGCGATTCGAGTACAAGCGCAAAGCCCGCCGCGTGGTCCCGGCACCACGCCCGCGCCCGCGCGCGCGACGACGATGATCGACGAGCGACGAGCGACGAGGTCGACGACGACGACGACGACGTTTGCCGCCTGTTTCGGCCTCCGGAGGCCGTTTTCGGGCGCCGTCGACGACGACGACGACGACGACGACGACGACGACGACGACGACGACGACGACGACGATTCGAGTACAAGCGCAAAGCCCGCAAGCACCAGCATCGCGCATGCGAGCGCCGCAATGGCCTGCGAGCGCCCACAGTGCGCCTGCGACCACCACACCACAGTGCGCATGCCTTCGGGCACCAGCATGTTGGAGGGGAAGACCGAGACCCCCCCCGCGTACGAGCGTTACCGTTACGGGGGGGGGGGGGGGGGAGAGGCCCGGGTAACGAGCGTTACCCCCCAGAGGATAAAAAAACAATCTCAAACGGGCCTCGGAATGCCTCCGATGCCACGTGTGCGACCGAAGAGATGAAAAGGGACGTATGGAAATTAGAAAAAAAGGGGCCCGTGAACTCCAGGGAGGTATGGTAGATCCGGCCATGATACCCCCACCCCCACCCAACATGCAGTCGAGGTTGATTGGAGAAGATACGCGAGGAGGGCACAAGGCCCTTCCGAAGGCCACATTGCCATAGGAATGTCAAGGCATGGACCGCGAAACACAAGACACAAAGTACCCCTGATCTGGTAGGGTCGACCTGCTGGTCAGCCTCGACTGCAGTGGTCATCCTCCGCTTTCGACGCCCCTGAAGAGAGAAACGTGTGGGTAGATGCCCCTGCCCGACCCAGGGGCGCGCGCGCGTACTCGCACTGCTGCCCCCCTTTCCCGCACTTGAGCGGGAACCTTGGGGGGGAGCGGCCAAAGGGGGGGGGGGACATCGAGCTGAAATCGGCAGTACATTGCCGAGAAATCTGCGACGGGCCACCGATAGCGAATCCACACGTTCCTGGGCAGGGAGGCCCTACCAACGCTCTTAGGGCTACTGGGGGTCGATACGTCCCCCCTGGAGCCTATCCCCCATGCACCTGAACGCACGCACAAACAGAAGACTGGAGACCCATTCTTTCGACAAGCCCGCGCTGGCACCAAGTCTAGAGGAGCGGAACAGGTCAAGTCTCGCCCGGGGAAGCACCTCGCGCGGGGCAGTCTGGAGCTCCACACCTGAGAAAAGGACTCAAGGAGGGAAACAGGGGCGAAAAGTGAGGAGGAGGAGGAGGAGAAGGAGGAGGATTGTTTTGCCGTCCCCGCGCGATCCGGCAACGGTGCCACAAGCACCCTGAACATGATTTTGCGTGCGCGCACCCGCAAGCAGGCGTGCTGTTGGGCAGCGTGGGCCGCCGAGGCGAGGTTGCCTGGCGATCCGTCGCTCATGTGCCCGAATCGCCGCACCTGGTCCTTCATGTGCGTGAGCAGCTGGGCGTCCGCAGGGTAGGCCATCTTGCAGTGCTGCAAGATCATGGCCTGCTAGACGTTCGACGCACCAGCGGCGCGCAGCAAGAGGAAACTGAGGGCCTCGTAGTCGATCATGAAGTGGCATGCCTGCTGCGCCTGGTTAGTAAAATGCCGAATCTGGTGAGGAGGCAATCGATGGTTCTTGTGGCAGCCGATGGAAGTTCATCAATGCGACACTGCCGAAGCGCGCTCCCCCTCGCACAGTTGGCCCCACCGTTTGACCAAACTGCGCACGAAAAAAGACATGGAGTTGCCACCGATGGGCCCTCCCTGGATCATGACAACCGGCGGCCATTCGTCCACGCGCTCGCGCGCCATGCCGGTGATGCACATCGAGACGTAGGCAGCTTGGCGGAACCCGATGACGACTGAGCTCGCCATTGACCCAATTTTGGAACGGCGCTCGAGCTTGCTTCCCGGGCCCACAGGTGCCGAGGTGTCGCGCGCTGCCGCCACCGCCGTCGCCGGCGCTCCTGCAGGCGATGCAGCTGGTGATGGCAATCATGCCATTCCGATGGCATTCCATCTGGGATACATGTCCCTCCACGCGTCGTGGACGCGCTGGAGGCCAGAGGTCAACCAGCGGCGCTGCTCGGGCAGCGTGCCTCGGAGTCGCCGTGGGCACTTGCCCTGGATGTGTTCCTTCTCGCCTGCGCATTGGGCGCCTTCTTCCGTCGTGTGGCTGTAGTGCTCTCGGTGCTCGGAACATCCCGTGACGCAGTGAACGCGGGTGTTCCTCGCACTTCGCCTTGTCGCTGCGCTGAGAACGGCCAAATGCGCGATCGTCAGGAGGAGTGCGCATCGGGACCCAGTCCTGCCGAGTTGCTGGGGATTTGCCCGGGCGAAGTGAAGAGGTCATGTGCCAAGAGATCGAAGACAGTCTGGGGCGTAGGAGAGCTAGCGATTTTGGTGCTGACTGCGCCGAACTCTGGTTCTCCCAGATCCGCTTCGCTGTTCCACGGAATGCTAAGACGCAGTCACACGACCCTCCATTGCCCCTTCGCTGTTCTGCACCTACTCCTCACGCGTGACACGTCCACCAGACACTCGGGACCCTTAGCCGACACCGTGGATGTGAACCTTGTGTCGAACAGTTTTTTCTAACATTTGCGGATTCACCCGCAGGCGGCCGCATTGAAGGCACACGGTCCGCGAGCTGCGCTGACGCAATCGACGCTAGACCGCGAGGCGTCGCTCAGGGCCCCGGCACGCCACGAAAATCGTCGCGATCGTCAGCGCTACGGCGGGGGTCCTCGCAGGTCTCGTTCGTGTACTTGTGGAAGTAAACGTGCCCCCTCCCCGTCACTGGACCTGGCGGATGGGCTGGTGCCCGAAGGCACCGAGTAACGTATCGTGCCACGGTGAGCGGGAAGCGGTGCACGGAGGCGAGACTAAGAGCGGATGGACAGCGGAATGAGCAGCGGCGGGGCGTTGAAACCGATGCTGCCGAAGTGCGGCGAGGCATGGCAAGGTCGGAGCAACGGAACATGCTGGTCCGCTACCAACTAGAAATACATCTGTGAGGAAAGATGTGACAGACAAAGGCATTCTGAAGGCGGAGTGTCGTATGCGTGAGATGCCTGATGGCGCGTCCCAGGCGGGCACGGTGCAAGGGTCCTGATGGAGAGCGGCAGCGGACAGCACAGGCAGGAAGTGTGGGTGAAACAGGAAAGATAAGAAGCCGCACCGTTCGAGCGCAGGGAGAAAGAGGAGGGGAGACAGTGGAAGGAGGGAGGAAGTCGGAAGGAGGGAAGAGGGCAAAATATGAGAAGGAGGGAGGAGGAAGAAAGGAGGGAGGGAGGAGAGAGGCGGGGGGAGACTGGAGCTGGGAGGGAGTCCTACACCTAACAACAAGTGGTGAGACTGAGGGAACCTCATTGCAACCGCAAGTCCAGCCCACTTTCCACACTCGTCCTCCTCCCATTGCACCCTCTCCTCCCCCTCCTCCCTCTCTTCCGTCCTCCCCATCCTCCCCCGTCCCCCTCCCCCCTCCTCGTCCTCCCCTCCTCCCCCCTCCTCCTCCTCCTCCTCCACCCTCCGCTTGCTCCCGCCCCCGCCCCCCGCGCCCTCCCCCCCCCAAGAGGAGGGCGGCGCCGGCGGATGCAACGACCAGGACGGCCTGGGCGGGGCCGGCCGGCTGCAGCGAGGTTCCCCACCGCGCACGCCCGAGGTCGAGGACGGCGGGGCGGCGCCCCGCGGCTCAGGCCCAGCACCACGGCGCATCGCGCAGGTGCAGAGGCCCTCGCCATCGCTCGGACGTCCATTCCCTGTTTTTTCCGGTTTCGTGCGTGGTTTTTTCGCCAAATGATCAAGGATGCTGCTCGATGGCCCTCGCCGAAGGAAAAATGCACACGTCCGAGCGATGCCAAGGGCCAGGGTGGACGAAAGGCGACGGCAGAGGGGTGGGCCTTCTGCAGGAGGCCGAGTCACTGTGACCCCCCCCGCACCCTGCCCGTGGCGCGCCGGAGCGCAGCCCCAGGAGCGCCGCCCAAGGCGCCGCCGCCAACGGGCTTGGGGGAGGGAGGGGGCACAGAACCGAGCCGGGAAGGAGTCCGCGCGGAGCTCCGGGCAGTTACGCAGCGTGCTCCGCTCCCAGAACCCCCCCCCCCGAGTCATGAACAAAGTTACGACGGCAAGCATTTCGCCATCTTCTGGCAATAGGGGGCCCTCACCAGGCCTCGGGACCGTCAAAAAACGACTCAGGATGAAAAACTGGTCCCGGGGAATGGGTCGTGGCCTCTGAGGGTCGACGTCGTGAAAAAAGCATGACGTCGGGGGTCTGGCTTCGGGGGTTGGTAAAGGTGCACCTGACCCCCAACTTTTCTCCCTTGAATTCGGGAGCCCCTGGAGCCCTGTGGGCCTGAAGAAGATGCTCTGGAGGCCGTAGGGGCCTCCTTTGCGACGAGGCCAGAACGAGGGTAAATTTGGATGAGGATAAGTCGAGAATCTCTGAAATGCAGCGGCTCTGGAGGATGTCTCGGGCGCCGCGGCCTTCTCAGAGCGCTCGGGAACTCTCTGAGAGCGTTCCGGAACGCTCTGGGACGGATTTATCCTCGTCCTAGCCCCGTCCGATCCTTGGAAATCCTCGGGGCACTTTGGGCCAGGGGCGCTTCTGGCAGCAACAGCCGATCTGTTCTTCGAAGCTGGCATATCAGCGCCGCCCGGCACTGGAGCCGGCCTGGTGTCCAGGAGCGTGCCCGGCGGTGGCGCCAACACCAGTTGCGTGCGGCAGGATTCATGTGATGGGCCAATTTTCCACCACCACTACAATAGGCAGGACTAGGGAGAAGGGAGGATGGGGAGGTTCTCCTCCTCCTCCTCCTCCTCCTCCTCCTCCTCCTGCCTCTCTTACCTATGGTAGTGGTGGAAGATCGGCCCATCACCATACACCCCCCTTGTTCCCGACGCAGCCGTTCGTCCACCTGGAATGTCATGCAGACCGCGGGGGTCGACTAACCGCGTCGAGCGGAACACCAGCAGGTGGGAGCACGGAAAGGGTGTCGCACTGTTGTAACCTCTACCTCGGGCGTTGCTAAATTATGGGGGCAAAAAATGAAAGGAAAAGTGCACCGTTTGGACACCTTCGGGGACTCAAGGGGGCCCCTTTGGGATCCATTCAGGGCTCCCCTTTCTTGAAACCCACGATGCGTTCCCCCCCCCATTCGTCGCCCCCCAATTACCTAACGCTCGATCTACCGCTGCGCTCGTCAGATCCGAGGCTCCAGAAACACTCACGACGGGCGGTCTTGCCCATTTCAGGCCCCGGAATCCTCAGGGATCGACCCGGCGGGCAGCCCTGGACACGATCTTCTCACGATGCTCTGCCGATTCACCCAGACGTCCTGCGGTGTCGGGTCCTCGTTTGGAGACCGCGGCGCCGCACCCCACCCTCATCACCTCCTCCCCCTCCCCCTCCCCATCCCTCCCCCTCTGCCTTCCGCATCCCTCGCACGCTCCGCGGCTCCATGCGGCCCACGTCGGCACTTTTCTCCTCCTTGCACACCCCTCGCACGCTTGGTGGCCCTCACGGAGCCCCACCAACGTTCGCAGTGGACCCGACCACCTCCCCGTCTATTTCGGCACACCCATCACAAGTTCCGTTCCCTCTCCTCAGAGAGCTCCACGCTCGGTCCTAATGGGCTCGGGGATCTCCTGACCTGGATCAATCCAGACCCGGGTCAGTCAGGCGTTGCAGGCTCCTGCAAGATAATGCAGGATCCTGCGCCCAAGCCCTGGCCCTGCAAGATCCTGCAAGATCCGGCGCTCTGGCTGACCTCCGCCTGCATGGACCCTCGCCCCTTGAGCCCCGAATGGCGCCCCCCCCCGCCCTTCCCCGCAATCCCCGCACCCGCTCTGTGGCCCCGCAGATGGGCGGCTCCGCCGAAAGCCCCAACGACGGGGCCCGCGAGGCTGCGGCGAGCGCGCCGCGCGCAAGCGCTGTGCGCGCTGCCCGCCGAGCAGCCGCCCCTCAGGCCGCCACGGCGCCGTTGGTGAAGCCGTTGCATCGCAGGCTCTCGATCTGGCGCGGCGGCGCACTTTGGCGGTGGCTGGCGGTGGCTGACGGCGGCGGCGGCGGCGACGGAGGCGACGAAGCGTTGGCGCGGCGGGCGGCGGCAACGGCGGCGGGGGCATCCATGAAGGCGACGGCGGCGGGGCGGCTGCGGAGGCGACATCACGGGGTCACCGCTAGTGGAGGGGCTCGGCGGCGGAGGCGTATGGGGGGCACGGGCAGCGAGGGGAACGAGCTCCAACTCAGCTTCATTAATTATCCAAATCCCCTTGTCCTTGCCTGCAGGACGTGGAAACAGTGTGAAGAAGCTGCCCCCGGAAGGCCATGCAGGTGCCAACTGTTGCTGGCACGGCTGAAATGACAATCGAACCCCGCGCCCGAAAGCCGTTGTTATGTTCTGTTTTGCTCATGCTCCCTGTCCTTCTCCCTCGAGGGAAACGCCATAAAAGGGGGGGCCCGGCTCAGGAGGGAAACGTCGACCTGGAATCGGCGATACATTGTCGACCAATCGGCGACAGGCCCCCGACAGAGGCAGAAAATTGAGAAAAAAACATCCGTCGTGATTTTTTCATGATTCGAGGGGGGGTCTGGTCTGGGCTCGGAGTGCGCAAGCGCCTCGGGCACGGAAAACTGGTGCATGTTCTGCTTCGATGCTCGCTCGCACACGTGCCTCTGCCTCTTTCTTCATTCTCTCTCTCTCTCTCTCTTGTTTTTTTTGTCTCTCTCTCTCTCTCTCTTTCTCTCTCTTGGAGAATGAATGTGGGGGTCGTGCGCAGGGTCCTGCAACGGTGGCTCCATGGGCCATGCATGAACGATACATCCTCGATCGCTGTGATCGGCAGGGGAACTAATTAAAGCTCCCCGCCTGCACCCCTGCGCGTTGAGGGTAAACGAAACAAGGGGGCGAGGGGCCGGGGAGAGGCAACTATGGCAACGTGCGCTGAGGGCGCAAGAAGAGAAGGTTAGAATAATCGAAGGCGGCGAGGTGAGTGTCAAATTCTGCCCACCCAATCTGACATGCGGAACACTGCGTTTCAGCGGGTATATTGAAGGCCAGCGCAAACTGTGAATTCACATTGTGGGGAAAGAGGAACATGTGAAATCGCAGTTGAAAATTCATTATAAAAGTATATATGAAAGGGCCCAGAATGTGAATTCACATTTTGGGAAAAAGGAAAGTGAGAATTCATATCCTCGGGGAGAGTGGTGGGACCCGTTCCAAATCTGTCATAGGGGTCGACAAGACATCGTTTGGGAACATACGCGATCATCAATCGCACAATCAAGACACACTTGCACTCCACTTCGCCGCCCCACGCACGATCTGCAAGAACGCCCGCCCGCATGAACGATCATGGATGGACAGCGCGCTCCCGCGCGGGCAACGCGCGGGCACGAACGACTGGCCCTTGTAGGACCGCCAGCATTGGATGTCAATCATACGCGATCATCTACATGAACGACGTATTGAGCACACACACGGGCCATTCAACCTCCGCTGCAGACCCCCTGCTTGCCGTCGCTCGGACGTCCAGTTCCCGTGCATGTTTCGGTTGCGTGCGTGTTTTTTGTTGCTCGATGGTCCAGGACGCTCCTCGATTGTCCTCGCCGAAGGAAACATGCACACGCCCGAGCGATGCCAAGCCTGTTGCGGACCCCTTCCTTCGCCCTCCGACTCTCCCTTCCGCTCCGCCGCCCCCCCCGCGCACCGCCCTCCAGTCGCGGCCCCTGGCCCCCTGGTCCGGAATCCTCCTCTCAGGGAAAGGCAAGCCTCGGGTGCGGGGGACCAGGGATGGCCTGACGGGGCCATCCTAGAAACGACGAGACGCAATCTCAAATCGGACGCGAGCTCCAGCTGCAGACGTCCCACGCGAAAACTGGACCGCCAAAGTCCGAGACGCGCTCGTCAAAAAAAAGGCGGCAACCCCGAGCTCCAGCTTGCTCGAGTCTTGCGCTTCCACGATCCTGCTTCTCCTCTTCCTGCTTCTCCTCTTCTTCCTCCTCCTCCTCCTCCTCCTCTTCCTCCTTCTCCTCCTTCTTCTACCTCTGCAGCGGTATGCAGACGAGGAGAGTCTTGTTCGAGTTCCTACCTGGAGAGACAGGCGCCGGCCTGAACGTGACTCCTCGAAGGTCCGCGCGGCCTTCTTGGACCGACGCTGGCCCCCCCCTCCCTGGCGCGCGCAGCGCGCCAGGGGCGGCGCCCGAGGCGCCGCCAGGGCGGGCCCAGCGCCGATCCAAGAAGTTCGCGCGGGCGTCCGATAAAATGTGTATGCAGTGCTTGTTGTCGTGGTTCGATCCTCGATCCTCGATCCTCCTCCTCGATCCTCCTCCTCCTCCTCCTCCTCCTCCTCCTCCTCCTCCTCCTCCTCCTCCTCCTCCCCCCCCCCCTCGATCCTCCTCCACCTCGTGCTCCTCTTCTTCCTCCTCCTCCTCCTCCTCCTCTCCTCCTCCTCCTCCTCTTGCTCCGCCTCCTCCTCCTCTCCTCCTCCTCCTCCTCCTCCGTCCTCCGTCCTCCGTCCTCTGCCCTCCGCCCTCCGCCCTCCGCCCTCCCGCGCACCGCCCTCCCGCCGCGCCCCCCCCCCCCCCCGCGCCATCCCGGGGCGCGACCTCCTGCCGCCTCTGCTCGACGAGCGCCTGGAGCTCGCACGTCTGGTCGACGTGGGAGTTCAGCCGCTCCTGCGGCACCACGTTTGTTTGCTCGTTTCCCGAGGGGCGGGAACGGTGGTGAACAGTTGTTACAGTCGGGGCCCTGAAAAAGGAACCCTTTTCGTTGGGGAGGGGCTCCGTGTTTCGCAGCTTGCCTTGGATTTTCCTTAGGTTTCCGATACGAAATCGAAGTTCCACTTATGGAAAATGGGGGCCTCGTTCCTTATTTAGGGTTCCTTAGGTCAACGCCTCGACTGTACCTGGGGAAAACCACTGCCTGGGCAGCGGCTCCTCTGGCCTCGGACTCTTCCCAGGAGAGCCCGCGCCCCCGCCGTGCGCACGAGGCGATCCGGCCCGACCGCGAGCCGTCCCCCTCAGGGGGGCGGCGGGAGATTCCAGGCGCAGCTCTCCTGTACGCTTGAGAGGCCACAGAGGGGCCAAACCCAGGCGCGCAAGCCAGCACTGGGGAGCGCTGGGGGGGCCACGGGCCCCTGCCAGCAGGCCACTCCGGCGAGGGGCCGCTCTCAGGCATGGCCGACTCCTGCGCGGGAGGGCTCGCCCCGCCCGCGCCCCCCCCCCAGGAGGCGAAGGGCCCAAGAACACACAAATAAAGACACACAAATCAAAGGATTCCCAATCTTTTCCCATATTTTTAGGGTTTTTGTCTTCCCGCCAAATGCCCATATTTCCCCATATTTTCCGGAGGATCGACGATAACTTGTGTCTGTGTGTTTCTTCCCTTCCTGAAAGAGGCGAGGCCAGGACTGGGACGGAATCGGACCAGGATCAAACCGGGGACCTCTGAGATCCGGCGACTCTGGGGGATGCGTCGGGCGCCGCGGCCGTTCCAGAGCGCTCCTGGACGCTCTGGCATCCCCGTGCTGGCCCCGCCCGCGCCTCCCCCCTCTCCTCGCGGATCTTGACGCGTAGGAGGCACCTCCTGGGAGGTGTTTCCAAGAAGGAGTGAGGGTTACTAGCTCCGATCGACGGGCCATTTCGCCAAATCCGGCTGGCTTGAGCGGGGATTGAGCCGAATCGGTTGGATTCGGACGTGTTAAACGGTCATCGAAAATAAAAGAACCCCTAACCCTAATAACACGATGAAGACGTGGCCTCACTGAGGTCCCCGTCTTTGCAGTAGGGATGGTACATCTGGACGGCTTGGCTCGATACATCTGCAGAAAAGGCCCCCTTATCCCTGATGTTTTGGGTCCTTTTGACTTAGGTCCCCTCCCGCAGGGTTAGGAATCCATTTTTGGCTACTCTTAGGTCGGGCATGTCCTCCTACTGGCGGATTTTGAACGAGGGACAGGCCCGACTTCAGGTCACTTCATATGCCTCCTGTAAAGGGGCAGGCCCGACTGAAGGTTACTCAAGCGGGACTGTGCCGGACCAGGCCAGATGGGGCCCGGTGCGGCCGCTCCTCAGGGGGCTCGGGGGGGGCTCGCCTCGCCCTCGGCTGCACCGCAAGAGCGACCCTGTGCGAGAGGGACCTTTCGAGGGGCAGCGGTTCGGGCTCGAGGCTCGAGGCCTGGGGTTTTCGGGCCTGTTCGCACCCATCGGTCGGAAGAAGTGGGCAGAAGCATGAAGTGGGAAGGCGTTGGAAGTAGACTGCGCTCCCGCCCGCCCCTCGAAGAGGAGGGAAAAGGAACAGCCGCCCTGTCCTTCAAGTAGGAACGCGCCTGAAATAGACTGGGATCTCGAAAATCCAGAAATGTCGGACGCCGGGGATATCCAGGATAGCTGCGGTCCGGGGCAACTCTGGTCTGGGCCCCCGAGGCACGAACCCGTAGCTACCCCTGACTGCCCCCGGCCCAGATACTTCGGGAGGGTTGGACGCCCGAGTTATCGGGGATGGTTGCGGTCTGGAGTAACTGCGGTTTGGGCCCCCGAGGCGAGAATCTGTGCCTACCCCTGACTGCCCCCAGCCCCTGATGGCTCGGAGCTCTGGAAATACCTACTTCCAACAACCCGCGTTCAGATTCCCGGCGGCTTTCCAGGCCCGGGGTGCTCTCCAGCGACTGCACCTCGCCGAGGGCGTTCTGGGGAGGGGGGGCCCTGGCATCCCGCACGGGGCCGCCAGAGGCCCGAGCTGCGACCCGAAAACACACACACACACATAAAACAAAACAAACATGGAGACATCGGCCCGGGGCAGTGCTAGCGTGAGATGACGATAAAGAAAATAAGGTAAAGAAAACGATGAACAAAACAAAACATTTCCGAATCTTGGGTTCCCGCTTCGCTTCGGCTCCGTCTGGCCCGTCGGCCGTCCAGGCGCGCGCCCGAGGAGGGCGGGGAGGGAACGATTGCACACTGATCTCCCAGCCGGGAGCCCACGTCTCTGAATCATCTTCCTGGGCGCCGCCGCGGGAACACGACCCCCGGTAATCCCACCAGCCCTCTGGGCGTAGGTGTTCTAGGGCGCTTCCTCTTCCAACCTCCCTCTTCCCCTTCGGGGAGGGGTTGACCCCTCCCCCTTACCCCCTCCCATGGACCTGGACGGGCGGTGCCGCGACCCATTGGAGCGTCCAAGATAGCCCATGATGGCTACAAGAGGGCCTCGGAGAGCCCAAGATGACCTACAAAATGGGGAACCGCGGGGCGGATCATGGGGGAACCGCCCTGGTCTGGACCCACTGCCCGGCCCCTTTAAGCTAATAGAGTAAGAACCCTCTAGGCAGAGCCTAGGTAGGGAATGAAAGCGGGAAGGCGACAAGGATGATGATAAGACTGTTTGGCGTGACTGTGCGGTATGCGTCCATCTGGGTGTAGGTGGGCTCCAGTGCAACTTAGATCAAGCGTGGCCTGTTCAACCTGCGTGGCCAGTTTAACCCGCGTGGCCGTTTTGGCCCGCATAGTTCCGAGAGCTGCCTAGATCAAACGTGACCGTTTTGATCCGCATGGCCGTTTCATCCGCATAGTCGTTCAAACCTGAGTGGTAGCTCCCAATCATCCTGTGGTGTTGGGTCCTCGTTTTGAAGGGACAACGCCCCGCCTCTCTCCTCCTCCCGGTGCCCACTTCCTCCCCCATCAAACCATCATCATCGTCATCGTCTTCGTCATCATCATCATCACCACCATCACCATCATCATGGGCATCATCGCCATCATCGGCGTCATCAACATCGCCATCGTCAGCGTCGTGCCTCTGTTCTCCGCGTGCCCACCAATTCGGCACACCCCTCACACGCTTCGTGGCCCCATAGGGAGCTCCACCGAAGGGCCCAATGCGAAAGTTCGCATGGCGGCCCCGCCCCATTTCGGCACACCCCTCACACGCTGCGTGGCCCCATAGGGAGCTTCACCGAAGGCCCCAAAGGAAAAGTTCGCATGACGGCGCCGCCCCATGTCGGCACACCCCTTACACGCTTCGTGGCCCAATAGGGAGCTCCATCTAAGGCTCCAGTGGGAAAGTTCGCATGGCGGCCCCGCCTCATTTCGGCACACCCCTCACAGGCTTCGTGGCCCCATAGGGAGCTCCACCGAAGGGCCCAGTGGGAAAGTTCGCATGGCGGCCCCGCCTCATTTCGGCACACCCCTCACAGGCTTCGTGGCCCCATAGGGAGCTCCACCTAAGGCCCCAGTGGGAAAGTTCGCATGACGGCCCCGCCCCATGTCGGCACAGCCCTCAAACGTTTCGTAACCCCATAGGGAGCTCCACCGAAGGCCCCAATGGGAAGGTTCGCATGGCGGCCCCGCCTCGTTTCGGCACACCCCTCACACGTTTCGTAGCCCCATAGGGAGCTCCACCGAAGGCCCCAGTGAGAAAGTTCGCATGGCGGCCCCGCCCCAGTTCGGCGCACCTCTCACGAGGATCGTGGCCCCACAAGGAGCTCCACCGAAGGTCCGAGCGGGAAAGTTCGCATGGCGGCCCCGCCCGAGTTCGGCGCACCCTTCACGACGATCGTGGCCCCATAGGGAGCTTCACCGAAGGCCCCAGTGGGAAAGTTCGCATGGCGGCCCCGCCCGAGTTCGGCGCACCCCTCACGAGGATCGTGACCCCATAGGGAGCTCCACCGAAGGCCCCAGTGGGAAAGTTCGCATGGCGGCCCCGCCCCAGTTCGGCGCACCCCTCACGAGGATCGGGGCCCCACAGGGAGCTTCATAGAACATGATAGTCACGACTGCGGTACTCACAGCTGCATATGCTAGGATCCTTCGTCAGGCTAATTTTTAACCCGCATGGCCCCCCGAACTACCTAGATCAAGCGTGGCAAATCTTACCCGCGTGGCCAGTTTAATACGCGCGGCCGTTGAACCCGAATTGTTCCCAGAGCCGCATAGATCAAGCAATCCCTGGGCGACCCACAATGGTTAGACCGCATGGCCTTAGAACGCAAGGATGTCTCAGGCGAAAGTGGCCTGACCACCAGAGCAAAGGGCATATCGTAACCCAGAGTTGCGAAGATGTCTCAGGCGAAAGTGGCCGAACCGCCCAAGTTCAGGGCAATTCGAACCTGACTTGTGCCAGGATGTTTCGGACAAAGCGGGCCTGACCACCATGGAGCAGGGCATCTCCCGGGGAAACACGATAGCTATCCGATATCCAAATCGGGGGCGCGGGGAACACGATATCAGGATATCACGCTATCCCTACATCGCGATATCGTGATATCGTGTTTTCGTGCTTTGGGGCATTGTAAACCAGCAAAACATATGGGAATGTTGCGGCGAAACCTAATTCCCACACACGAGCGCATCGTGTGGGAATTAGCCGTTCCCCACCAGAAATGTGTCGCGGGCACCCAGACCCTCCCAAAATCCGCCACAATGCCCTTAGGCACGGAGTGGGCGTGCCCGCAGGTCCGTTGACCAAATTCTATGAGCCTCAGCCCCCGCAAGCCTCATTCCTCATTCCTCTTCAGCCTCATCCCCTATAAGCCTGAGTCCTCATTCCTAAAGATCCTTAAAAGGGCCTGGAGCCCCAAATTTCCAAATCTCCCGGGGGTTCCCGAGGGTCAGAAGGCAGAGCATTCAAAGATGTCTCTGGCGAAAGAGGTCAGAGATGCGAGGATGTCTTATGCGGAAGTGGCCGCGCACCATGAAACAGGGAATCTCTGAGGTCAAAGTTGCGAGGTTTTCTCGAGGGGGTGACCTCCCCTGCTCCTCCTCATCCTCCTCGTCCTCCTCGTCCTCGTCCTCCTCCTCCTCCCTCCCCCTCACCATTTGCGCACCAGCCGCGCGGAGGGCTGGCGAGAGACCCCGCAAGCGTCACCGCCTCTCCCGCGCAGTCGCACGGAGAAAATTCGCATGGAGGACGACACACGTGATCAGGATTGCCAGAAAGAGGGGCCCACCCTATCCGCCTATTCCTCCTCCTCCTCCTCCTCCTCCTCCTCCTCCTCTTCCTCTTCCTCGTCCTCTTCTTCCTCCTCACTCCTCCCTCCTCCCCCTCCCCGACCTCCTCTTCCCCATCCTTCTCTATCTTCTCTTCCTGCTTTGTGTTCCCCCCCTCCTCCTCCTCCTCCTCCTCCTCCTCCTCCTCCTCCTCCTCCTCGTCCTCCTCCTCTACTACCCGCCTCCTCCTCCGCCTCATCCCCCTCCTCCTCCTCTTCCTCCTCCTCCTCCTCTTCCTTTTCCTCCTCCTCCTCCTCCTTCTCCTTCTCCTTCTCCTCCTCGTCTTGTTCTTTTTGTTCTTGTTATTGTTCTGATTATTGTTATTGTTATTATTATTATTATTAGTATTATTATTATTAATAGTATTAATGTTATTATTATTATTATTCGTATTATTATTATTATGAGTATTAGTATTATTATTATGATTATTACTACTATTATTATTATTAGTATTATTATTAGTATTCCTCCTCCTCCTCCTTTTCCTCATGTCCTTATTTTCCTCCTCTTTCTCCTCCTCCTCCTCCTCCTTTTCCTCCTCCTCCTCCTCCTCCTGCTCCTCCTCCTCCTCCTCCGATGTCACCTCGTTACTCTCCTCTTGGGGCACGACGGGTTCTTCAGTTCTTTGTTTGTCTGAATGATCCCCCACTTCCTTGATCAGCGCAGCTCGTCTGGGCATCTGATTTGGATGGGCCGTCATTCTCCTGCTCCTCCTCCGACGAGACCCAGCCTGAAATCTGGCGCGAGCTCCCGCTGCAAACATCCGACGAAAATTGCACCGTCAAAGCCGAGGACGGGCCCGCCCCAAAGCGCCAGCAGACCCGAGCTCTGGCGAACTCGAGCTCTGCATGTCCCCGGCACCTGCGAGGCCTGGGTGGTCGCCCGCTCGCCTGCCAGCAGGCCGCGGAGGGGCTCCGAGAGGTCGACGTAGCTCTGCATGCGCATCTCGAGCTCCGTCTCCACGTCGGCCTTCTCCTTCCAGAGGGCCTCCATGGCCTCGAGGGGGGAGGGCCCGCGCGCCCCGCTCCGCTGCCACAAACCTCCCCCCAGACGTGCTCGCGCCGGGCGAAGATGAAGGGGCCCTGGGACACACAAAGAAATACACGCAAATCAAAAGATTCCCCATATTTCCCCATATCTTCTGGGCTGCTGTCTTCCCCCCCACTTCCCATATCTTCCCATATTTCCTGGGGAATCGAAGATTCACTGTGTCTGTGCGCTTCTTCCCCTCCCGAGAAGATCGCGCCGGAGGCTTCGGGCCGTGCTCGGCCTCCGGAGGCCCTCGCCGGCTGCCCCTCGCGGCTGCCCCCAAGCACGGCGCGGGGCGAGGGGCGCACGGGGCCCGAATGGACGCACCACCGCCGCCTGCCTCACCCCCTCCCTCTCCCAAGAAGGAGGAGGGGAAGAAGAGGGTAGAGGAGGGGAAGAAGAGGAGGGGAAGAAGAGGGTAGAGGAGGGGTGAGGAATCGACGTGGCGGTGGTGTCTATGCCTGGGGCCCGCCAGCGGGCCCTGCGGGAGCGCCGGCAGGCAGGGCGCCGCCAGGAGGCCAGACGAGGAGCGCCAGGCGAGGAGCGGAGGGGCCGTCCTGGCCACCGCGGGCCTCGGCCGCGGGTATAGGCTCCTGGGCTGCCTGGGAAGGCTGGGCATCGCACGGCTGGGCCTCTGCCCTCTCTCGCCCTCGCCATGCTCGGCCTGCGCGCGCACGGCCAGTGGCGCACGCCGATGGCGCAGCGCGAGGCCCAGTGCCCAGAGGCACCCGAGGGCCGCCCCAAAACAATCCCCGCCAGGCCGTGAGGAGTGGGCAGGGCAAGACCCCCACTGGGAGCAGGGGGGGGACGAGCAGGTGAGACAGCTCTCAACATGCAAAGCCTTGAGAGCCAAACGTAAAGAAACGCGATGCTCGCGCTGGCAGCAGCGCCTGCGAAGCACCTCGCCTCGTGGTGGGGGGGGGGCAACGACTCCACCACCAGCGTCGGAGAGAAGCGCAACGACGTCAGCCAAAGCATGGCCGCAAGAACGTGGGTCAAGAACGCGGGCCCCTCTGCCGAAGGCACGCTAGTCCCATGGAGCAGGTGCAAATCGGAAGGCACGGCGTAGAGAAGGAAGACGAGGAAGACGAATAGACTCTCTTCTAGCTGCTCCCCACGAGAAAACCGCAGCTGCTTGCAGGCTGCTGCGAGTGCACTGTTCGCTGTCCCCCGTGAAGTGCTCCAGCTGGCGCTCTCCGCAGGGGCCGGAAGTGGAGGTGGCATCATCTCCACTAGGTGGATACCATGGATGCCATGGACGCACACGAAGAAAACCAGAAAGGTATATACTTTCGGAGATTGGTGGGTGAGATCGAAGTGGAACGGAGAGCCCCCCTACCGGGAAATCGATTTCGGTTTCGTGTTCGTGCCGTGCGTGCGGGCGAGGCGAAGCTGCGTGGGCGGGTGAGAGAAAATTATCCTGTGGCTGGGCCGCGGC